TTTTCCGTTTCGTCTCCTGAAGGGATTACAGATCAACGGTTTTTCAGACAGAAGCAATTGCTACAGTTCCAGCGTTTCTGGCTTTCGTTGGCATAATTTGAGCATGACTGTGTTTTCCAGAACATTTCGTCAATTACTAAATCTCGGCTCGGCCGCGATTGTGTGAAGAAGCTCCAGCTTTTCTGCTAACTTTATTTCGTGGCATCGCTTACTGGCGTTGTTTGGTGCTTTGTCAACAGCGTTGGATAGCGTGGTTGGAAAGGAGGAGAGGAGATGAGCAAGGGGTTAGACGTGGTTAAGGGTGGTGATTGATGAGTGTTCAGATGCAATTCGGGGGCATGAATTACGTACAGGATAGAGAAGGGGAACAAAGGTACCAGTCAGGAGTTGGAGGCGAGAAATGATGTCGGCAGTAAAGAGAAAGAGACAACACGGCACTACAAAGAAAAGTAAATTAAAACAACTGGCCGAAAAAAATTTCTCGCAAGTCGTGTATTGTGCCGACCGAGCCGGATTTTAGCAGTTGCCAACATTTCCATTCCTTACCTTGAATACCTTGAACAGCTGTTGTTTCATCGATCTCTGATGTCATGCCATCGATGCAACTGGCAACTTCTCCATTTCGATCGATCCTGAGCCTGGCGAGACCAGGTGACGTCATAAAGGCGCACGATTGGATCTCGCCATCGTACGTGGGGCCTCCCCCGTGTTCGTTTCATCGCGCGTGGGTACCACTCCATTATCCATCCCTTAGCAGATACTAAACCTCGACTCACCTCAGCTGTTATTGCATGACGCCCTACCTTCTTTGCTAACGTTATTTCGCGGCATCATTTGTTAATCCAGTTTCTCAAATGTATGAACTGTTTTTCAGATATCAAGCCAGCAAATGTGTTCATCACAGCGGATGGTATAGTGAAACTTGGCGATCTTGGTCTTGGTCGATTTTTCAGCTCCAAAACAACTGCTGCTCATTCGTTGGTTGGCACACCATACTATATGAGTCCCGAGCGAATTCAGGAGAGCGGCTATAATTTTAAATCAGACCTCTGGAGCATTGGATGTTTGCTATATGAGGTATTTTATTCACAAATTTGTTCATTTCATTCGTCTAAACTATTTGTAAATATAAGTTTTTACCAAAATTTTTATGTAGAATAGCCGAAATCGCTATCTAATTGCTATGTTCCTTCTCGCCATCGATATAACCGCAATTTCTCGATTCCAGTGCCCCAGTTTTTCTTGCCTTCAAAAGCTAGAAGACTGGAATTTTAAAGGGATGTTCCTTGTTCACGTGAATATTAATGAGTTCAAATCCAGCCCCCAACTATGCGTGATTCTCACGTACGGGTGGAATTTTTCATGGATTTCGAGCATGACACAGCAGCGATTAACGTTGCTGTTGTGCTGGTGATTGGAAAGTTCAGTTTCAACAGTGAGGCAACTATTCTTTAGGAATTCTCTAATTTGTTTCGACGGTAAACGAATACTGGCAAATCTCAGCAATTTAAATTTAGATATTTTATGATTATGAAAAAAGTTTGTAAAAATTAAAAGATAAAAGTAAAAATTGAAAATGAAATAAGTGAAAATTGGATTGGATTATTTCGGTCCATTAAGTCGCATACATTCCTATTCAGTGCTACAGCTGGACCTCGTCAGTGTGTTGGTTGCAGCAGAAGTATTGTAAAACAGAAAGCCAGCTCACAACCACAGAAAAGGGAGCATTGAACAGCCATGACAAGGAAAAAATCACTTTTTTTTAGACAAAGCAAAAGCTTACCAACGTTGATTTTTTCTTGTCGTTGAAGCGAGCGAGTTTATGGAAGTCCTTGACCGCCACCACCATAAAATAGTGCCAAAACTTACAACAGTGAACAATAGCATGGATGCCCAGAGGGATACAGTCGAGATATAGTCAAAAGATAGCGTCCAAGGAATACTTTGACGAGTAACGTCGAGAATTAGCGTGGAAGGGTAGCGTCGGAACATGGACTGGAAAGCAGCATTGAAGGAAACGTCAGAAAAGGGGGTCAGCGCCGAAAATGTGCAAAATTTCACAGAAGATATATTTCAGTAAGTATTCAAACAGCCTGAAATACATGTTTTTTTTTTTTCAGATGGCAGCACTACAATCACCATTCTATGGCGATAAATTGAATTTATATTCATTATGCAAAAAGATTGAAAATTGCGAATATCCTCCCTTACCTGCTGATATCTACTCACAACAGGTTAATTTATTCGAAGCCAATCTTTTGTCGAATTGCACTAGTGAATTGCCTAACTGAAGAGTCATGAATTCCATGAGGGCAGATTTTATATAAATCACAGTTATCGAGATTACTAAGGCCGCCTGGACAATCAGTGTGGAAATCTCATGTTGGTGTTGATAAAGATATTAGTAATGGTAGTATTAATAATAATAATAATAATAATAATAATAATAATAATAATAATAAT